GTATCACACTAAGTCTTGGCCTGTCACACAGGGGCTACTGCTTGCTCTTGCCTAAGCTCTGAAACGAACTGTCTCAACAGACCTCCAGTGGCAACACCCTGTTAAAGTGGGTATCCTAGGATACCTAAGTGAAGTGGCGCCCAAGATGAATGGGACTAAACCAGCTCAAGAAAGGGCACAAAGCAACCGCGCGAAGCCCTCACCCTATAGGATTTTAGAAAAGAACGCAAAGAACTAGCGTGCGAACTTACCACAATGTCGATTTTAGAAAGTGCACAAAGCCTTCACGTGCACACGTACCATAACATGGATTTTAGGATACCGTTCTAAGGGGGGCTCTCGTGGCACTCTGAAAGAGCAGCTCATAGATGGAATGGTGCAACAAAACCCAATATGTTTGAGAGTCACCAACTCGATCTAAGGCCTAAAGCTGGATTGGCTAGCAGTAAATCTCCAGCTCTCACACGAGAGGGGAGCTCAACCTACCGCATGTTCCAATGCTGGAACAGCTAACAATAATTTACTTAGCTGAGGGAGCAACATACCCAGCTCTAAAACGAGAGGGAGGCTCGGACCTACAGCATGTTCCAATACTGGAACTGCCAGCAGTAACCATCGCCGCCATAGACCTGCCCATGGCGGAGGCGGCCTGTTTAGTAGCAGGGAGAGCAAGATCTGTGGTGCGGCGCAGCTCAGCTACCTGATCAGGAGAAAGGCCCTCGCCTTTATCCAGGTCTTTCAGCAGATCAGCCTGATATGCCTGGAGCACCGCCATAGTGTGCAACGAAGCCACAGCCTGACCTGCTGCTGCGTATGCCCTGCCATTTAAGCGTGATGTATCCTGGAGGGGCTTAGATGGCAAGGAGGGAGTATTAAGGGAGGATGTCTCGCCCGAAGAGAGATAGCTAGCCAGCGTCTCTTCTACAGGGGGCATCCTCTCATAACCGTTTTCACGCATCGCCTCGATGTTTGCATAACTCGTATGCTGGAATCGATAAGATGCGAGAAGAAAATGGCCCCTTCCATTCCTTCTCGATTTCAGTATGCAAATCAGGAAGGAATGGAAGGCTCACCTGTGCTGGACGGTTATGGTCAGAAAGATAACGCTCATCGAGACGTCCCCGCGGCACCACTTTCTTGGCCCACTTCCACGGCAAGTCCAGCCTCGCCGTGGCGCGATCCATAACTTCCAACAGCTCATCATACGCAGGGCAGGAGGATTGGGAAGGCTCAGCCTCAGCCTCTTCGCCGTCCATAGACATCTCTTGCTCTTCCTGAGCTAAACCCAGCAGAGCACTGGCCCCCGGATCAGACGATGTCAAAGAGATAACATCATCCTCCAGCGGCTCTCTCTCGTCCGCAGCCAACGAGTGCGAGGAAAGCCCCTCCTTAAACTCATCAGCCAGGTCCACCTGTGAACCCCATGAGCTCATTCTCCTCCGTGCCTCAGCAGCGGCGGGGCCTGAACCATGGGGGGCAGATGGCTGCCCCTCTTTCCTCGAAAAAAGAGACAAACAAGAGCGGAGCTTTTTTTCACATTCAGCAAACAGATAGGAACTCACTGTACTTTTTATATATATTTCAACAAATGACAAGCAAAATCAAATCCCTAGGAGCTTGTGAACAGTTTTGAAGCATTTTAAAATGCTGGTTTAATGTACTAAGACACTGCTAAAAGACATGCAGATGAGCCAGAATATTAACGCGACATGTTTAAACGTAAATAGTTTCCCTCTCTTTAGAAAACTGTAATGTAGAAAGCGTATATGGATTAAGACATCGATATTTAAAGTTCATATTTTGGGCTCATCTGTTTTTCTGCACATATTATGCTTTATTAATAAGATATGTGACGTGTGTACTGTCTCGGTGCATTAAGCGTGTTCTTTAACGTGTAAATAAATGCATTTCGTTCATATTTTGAGCTTGTATGCATATCTGCACATAGTATATGCTTTACAATTTTGTCTTTATCACTGTCTTGGTACATTAAGCCACTTAAGCATTTTAGAAAGTCCCCTGTTCAAGTTCTGTTAATCCACAAGCCTAGTGAGAGTCATGCTCGCAAAGAAGGTAATTATTAAACCAACAAAATCAAAACTTTCAAAAAACACACAGCAATGTGATTCTTTTATTGAATGAGAGTCAATGGGTTTAATCAGTGACATTAACAGATTTACTATTCGGTGTCTTCTCTGCAACCTCCTTCCCTAGGTGTTTTTACACATAGAAAAGGATGAAAAAACATATTGCATTGTCCAGTTTTCTCTCAGAACGATGATCTGAGTTCCTTGTGCAATTCTCTATGCAGCATTAATGACATACACTGGTGACATTTTTCACAATCACGACAAACAATCAAATACTGCCCTAAACTCAATAGCGGAAAGGCAGCGCTATCCTGCAAGTATGGCGGACAAACAAAGCAGTTTCCCAGAACTCAACGTGGCGTTACATCACATTCTCATTCTTTATAAGCGACATGGGATTCTATTTTAGGAATGGTTTTTATTTTCTGCAACGTCGCAGCAGGAACAACATACAAAATATGACAGTGATAATCTCAGATAATGATTATGTGCTTTATTCAATGTTAAAAGTGTCTAATGTGAGTTTGAATATTATAGCCATAGTGAAAGCAACAATAGATATTTTACCTCAGATCTTCAAAAATAAATGAAAGCAAACTTGTAGCCTACGTTAAAACTGTGAACTCACTGTGAACCAACACGTGTATGCCATAACAAAGATATCAGTCACTCACTCACTCACTCAAAACTGTTCAGTCCATTCACATTTGAATCATCTATTTTCCGTGTCCACTTTTCTTTTCTACAGACTCGCCATGTTTTTGCTGTCACATCATATTTACACTGGACGCGACAAAGCATTGCAAATCATTTGAACGTCATGTCAGTACGTTATAAATAGAACGAGTCAGCAGTTTACTGTCGGGGATTTGTCGTGTCGCGCCACATCCAAGACAGCCTCCCTGATTATAACTAGTTCTTGTATTTTATTGCGTCGCGCCGTGTCCACCAACCAATGTAGACACGATGCAAGTTAATGTAGCTTTCTGATGCTGCATTTGAATTTTCATGCCACATTATTTGAAATTAGCGTGGGCCAAACTTTTTTTTCTCTCACGGGCGGGATGTGGCCCGCGGGCCGCCTTTTGAGGAACCCTGGGCTAGAGACACTGCCCCTGCTGGCCATACTGTGGCAGAGCAGCTTTTAGCTTACCCTTGACTTTAATGCCCTAGGACTGCTTCAGTGTAGATTGCTGTTGTACCAAATCATAGAGGCTTTGCTGATATATGCAATCTTTAACAAATGTAAACTGAAACATTGAAGAATCTGTCAAATAAAGGTTGTGTGCATTTATGTGTGTATATATGTGCTTCCAGATTTTTTTCTCTCAAGGTCTCTCTAAAGTGATTAGTTTATTATAAAAAATGCTTTTAATTTGTTTGTAGATATATGTAATTACAGTAACAACATTATCTGTCTGTCACCAGGTGATGACACCATGACTGGTGATGGTGGAGAATATTTGAGAGCAGAGGATTTGAGAGAGTTAGGAGATGACTCTCTACCTGGGCAGTACCTGGATGGCATGAACTACTTGCGCTTCAGTTTAGAAGGAGGCCAATCAGACAGGTATGTTAGTTTTGATACTTAATTAAATACAAGTCGATAAATAGGGTTATACTTGTTTTCTAAAACCTGCTAATTTATTTGTAACTCACTTATTCTTCTTTCTGCTAATGCTGACATAGTCGCTTACAAAGGTATGTGAGGAACTCTGCACTCTCTACATATCAGTGTGTCTTAAAGATGATCCACTATTTTTGTTCGAATACAGTGTATTTTGAGAGCTAGTTGCTACTGGATGGATGAATTTTTATCAGTGATGATACTTTGATATGATGGCTTTGACACAGTCTGTATTCTATAGACCAGTTTGGAGTAGACGTCACAGTTACGTCACATGCAGCTGCGTGTGCGTTGTGGTGGCAGAAACACACTGGGAACAAGTGGAGGGAAACAGGTCAAATCCATGGAATAAGAGAAAAAAATTATTGTTGTGCCTTTGGATGTCAGAATCGGAATAAAAATCATTTTTATAGAATACTGTCATCAAAGACACCATTTGAAGCTAAACGCAGACGTTTAAACAGACAGACTATGGATGAAACCTGCTATGATTACCCTACTTTTAAAGCATAAATTTGATTTAAACAATAGCTCTACATAATATTCACATATGCAGTTCATAGGGAAAATATTGTATTAGCCGTATTACAGCATGAAATACTATTTAAACCTATAACATGTACCTATTTTATCTCACAATTCTTTTTTTTTCTCGCAAATGCATTTTTATATCTCCTATTTCGGACTTTATAACTCAATTTAACTCAACAATTGCAATTTTGTCAATTCTGAGGGGGAAAAAGCAAGAAGTGTGGGATATAAATTCATGATTCTGAGCCGAGGGGAAAAGAGAGAATGACGAGTTGATTTTTTTCTTATCGGAATTGTGAAATATAATCTCGGAATTGCGAGAAAAAAAGTCAATTTTGAAATACAAACTCAAAATTACCTTTTTCATTCTTTTAGTCCATGGCTTCCATAGACTGCTACTTTAAAACTGTCATTTTCTGCCACCAGATAGACTCCGCCCACAAAAAAACATCATCACTGTTTGCAAACACCAAATTGGTCTATAAAGTGCTATATAAATAAAGGTAACGATGACAACCTATTGATTGATGTTGTGTATACTGTATGTTTTTCTTTAGTTTGGATAGGTCCTACACACCCACTTACCAAAGACACTTCCCTGTAAAACATTATGGGATGATGGAGGATATGATATATAGTAATCAGGTAAAGTTGAGGATTTTTTTTTTATTAGTATTTATTTATTATTATTATTATTATTATTATTGTAAAATAATGTTTTATATGATGGCTTTTATTTGTGATACCAAGTGGTGGCCTTATAGAACTGATATGATTAATGAACAGATTAGTAAACCTTTTCTTTTTAAATAAATATACAGGTTTTTACAGATTCTGGCTTCTTGAGTTCTGCATTTCAAGTCTGCATTAGTAGATAAAGCCCCAGTTTTAACAAAGATGCCTATATTCACTCCAGGTGTCTTCTCTTGCAAGAGAAAATGAAAAGGAATCATATAGCTGGGAAATGGAAAACTTGGACAACATAGCACTGTCCTCAAGTCCTGCTCATTCCGGGTATGGAAAACAACTGCATGCTCTCTATCAAACACACTCTTACTCACACATACGAATACTGAAACTCTTTGTATTAACGGTCAACATGGAATCAAAGTGGACTCTTATTTATTTATCTTATTTATATGTTACTGGTCTTATTGGTATTGCCTTGGTATTATTATTATTTATTTATTTTTAAATATGCATATATATTCTACACACATTTTTAACAACCAGAAACTTGTAGAATGGTGCCCTTGAAAATGCAAAGTTACTATATCACTTCTCACTTACTGTAAGTTCACTCATTCACTTTCTCAGAACTTTCTCAAACATTCTCTCTTTCTGACTTTTTCTCTCTGGTGGATGGTATTTTTGGTCTTCAGCCGTTGTTCTCCATGTCATGACCATGACAATAGCAGGTGACTGCAACGTGTCATTTGACCTCAGAGCACAAGGATCACTTTATCTGCCATCTTCTTGCTATGCCTCTTGGAATATTACAATTTGTATACCCTAAAGATGCCAAAAGGCACTGCAAGTTTGAAGTCATCTGAATGTTATTTGTCATTTCACAAACATGTCTTTGAGACTAACACAGTATTTGTCTGTTTCTCATTAATTTTTTTAATCATGGATTTTGTGGCAGACAAAACTTATACAGTATAATGTGATATTACACCATTACTGTAACATGTTACCGTAACATAACATACTTTTAAGATATTATTATTATTATCATCATCATCCAGGCATTAGTTGTTTATACCATTGCTATGAAGCCAGACTTAGCATAGAACAAGAAAAGAACAAATTATACAACAAAAAATATAATACAATGAGACAAATGATTAATTGAAATGTAAATGTATCAAAGATACGTACATACAATACAAATTGAGCCATAAATAAAAATAAAGCATTTTATTTGAAAGAACAATAGTAGATTATGCATTTTGTTTCAGGGACAAAAAGTGGTCAATGATTGTTTGTTTTGTGCTGACCTGCATTCTGTGAGGGTTGAGTTTAAGGAATAAGAAAACTTGTGTTGGTGTACAAAGATCCAGGTTAACAACTGAAAGTCAATAAAGTGCATTACCATAAACAGCAGATAGTGATTGCATAATAATTTTTATTATATATATATCAACAGAAGTTTCATATACATAAACATGGACATTTTTGTTTGCTGTGCATGTTGTGTCTCTAGGATTGTATATCCAAATCACATTTCCAGAAAGGTGTTGTGTGTGTTTGCATGAAAATCAATCACTGATATATGTTGTTTTGATCATGTTTATGCATTTGAATATCCAACTGGATCTCATAGGTATTTGTATGTATTTTACCTTGTGTGGTTCTACATACATTTACTTACGTTTGCTTAGGCAATAAAATGTACAATATTACCGTATTGATTGCATCTGAAACGTCTCGGTTACGTATGTAACCCTCGTTCCCTGAAGGCCACAGGACACTGGAAGGGGCAGTAGCTGTGGCCCTTTGGTAAGATCCCAATTTCGTCGGTCAACCGACGTGACGTCGGGAGTGACCGACTGAAAGGGAACATTGCTTATTTACACATGAAAAACTGTATAGGCATACACATTTACAAACCATTATTTATGAATATTGAATTCATGGAATTAATTGGTTGATACTATTGTATTTATGATAATGGAGGTTATGATTTCAATTGGGTTTGTTTAATGCAGTTGCTCATTTAATTTCTCCATATAACTCGATTCAAATTTAATGTTAATCGAGCCGTTACTTTAAAACCTAAAAATTAATAACATTTTTGGAATTGTTTAACCATTACTTACATATGGTTGCTGTAGGATACAAAATAAGTCTCAATACGCTGTGAAAAGTGTGAAATGCACCAAAAACCAAACATAACCTGATCAAATTTAAGCTTATATTTTTAAGAAAATTACATTTTTCTGTCTTGTTACATTTTATACATTATTTTATACACTCTATAACAGTGGTTATGTTTAGTTTTAGGTTTTAATATTGCAGTTTTTAAAGCTGTAAATGCACAAATAATGTTTACATTTTAGATGTTGTCAGTTCATCCTTATTGTACATTTGTGACCCTGGACCACAAAACCAGTCATAAGGGTCAATTTTCTGAAATTGAGATTTATAGTTCTAAATAAATAAGCTTTCCATTGATGTATGGTTTGTTAGGATAGGACAATATTTGGCCGAGATACAACTATTTGAAAATCTGAATACTGAGAAAAACACCTTTAAAGTTGTCCAAATGAAGTTCTTAGCAATGCATATTACTAATCAAGTAGGAAATTTACAAAATATCTTTATAGAACATGATCTTTACTTAATATCCTAATGATTTTTGGCATGAAAAAAAAATCAATAATTTTGACCCATACAATGTATTTATGGCTATTGCTACAAATATACCCCAGCAACTTAAGGCTGGTTTTGTGGTCCAGGGTCACATTTCAGTATCTATCCAAACATACAAAAAAAATATTTTGTACAAGTAAATGTTACGTGCTAATACCTACGTGTAAACAATGAGACCAGGCTGGAATATCATGATCATCTTTTGAAGTGACTTGTGATTTCATGACATGCATATGGTTTTCATTAAAGTGGTTCTTTATTAAATGTTACTAAACTCTTACTTCATCTAAATATATGATGCCTTTTTAAAATTCATTTTAACATTGTACGTCCTCAATGCAGTTTCTTAGTAAGCTTCATGGTGGATGCCCGTGGAGGTGCCATGCGTGGATGCCGGCACAATGGTCTACGACTGATCATTCCACCGCGGAAATGCAGTGCCCCTACTCGAGTCACCTGTAGACTGGTGAAAAGGCACCGACTGGCAACCATGCCCCCCATGGTAGAGGGTGATGGTCTAGCTAGCAGGCTGATTGAGGTTGGACCCTCTGGAGCTCAGTTCCTTGGGTAAGTAACTATTGGTAAGAATTTGTTCGTGGATCAGAGTGTTGGATAGTGAAATCCAGACACAAGATTATGTGTATGATTGTAGTTTCTCATTGCTATTTAAACTCTGAATGTTATCTTTTTTCATATTGATTATTTAAATGATCAGAATATGAGATGCTGACTTTTAATCAATACTCAAAAGTAGTCTGGTGCACTGGAACAATTCTTGCACACCAGTAAACCTGTACTTTCTGTCCAAAATAATTATTTTAGATCTGAAGGGACCATTTAATCTACATGTTAAACCACCCATCACACTTTGCTTGTTTTTAAGTGACATTTAGGGGTGGTTAATAGACTAAAGTACATTGAAAATGGTATTTCAGCAAATGTGATAAAATCTTTACTTCCAATTATACCCCACAAATTGATTGATATATATTTAAACCATGCACTTTTAATTTAAACCCATGACTGTTTCCCTCAAGCATATCTTTTTGTGATAATGTTCTGAAGTTGATGTGCTTTTTTCCCTTTTAGCTTTCATGTATATAATTCCACTTTTACTTAATACTGAAACATACTTCAAATTGCAGTGGATACATTTTACTGTTGCTAGGAAAAATAGGGAAAACTACTGTAGTAGATCTAGACTGGTGGTGCTGGGGTGGAGGAGGGATAAAGGCATGCAGTATTGAGTTAGACCAGGTTGTGGTGGAAATAAATAAGGTTGCGTAGAAAGGAAAAATTGGTTTGATAGATTTGACTGTGTTGCCAGCTTGGAAGACCCAGTAAGCTACCCAGGAGAGTTTCATGACAGAACTATGCATTAGTTTTAATTCCAAATTAGATAAAAGGGTGTTTACAGTGTAAAATAACAATAAACTGTAAATAATTATTATTAGTAGTATATGTGATAAGACTAATAATATGCAAAGGTAGCATTTTTCCACTTTTAACACTGCTTTAATGGAATGTTGTACAGTGTTGTCATGGACTTCTTTGCTGCTTTTATTAATCACCTCCTATCAAAATGACTGATGTTGCCCCTGCTTTTCTGTATTAAGGTGGTTGTAACACCTTAATTTTTGTTTATTATTATTTTATTATTTATTTATTTTGCTAAATGGCTTGCAGTGAAATTTGTTGTACTAGCGAAAATGAATCCTTCTTAAATTGCTCCATGATTAATTTTTATATGTTTTTCCCTTGCTGACTAACAATTGATGTATGAAAATCTGCATAAAGTATAGTGCAAGTACAGGGCTGTGTCTAAAATTGCCCCACATCCTTTTATAGAGCCTTAACAAGACATATTCCACAGAAGTCATTATGCTTCCTAATAAACTGTAAGAGATGTCAGGATGAGGGCTTTTGTTCATTAGGCTGGCCACACACTTTGAAATTTTAAGGCTGATTGTAAGCCCGATTTGCACCTCTAAATGATTGAAAAAATGTTGAAAAAAATACTCTATTGTGTGGTGTCATCGTTCCTACAATCAACAAGTGTGTGGAATGTAAGAATGTACAACCTGACTCAATATGAGGTGCCCAACATGCACCAGGGGGACACAACCTGTTGTAACCACAACGTTGCAGTCGTTGAATCCTGGACATGTGTTACTCTCCAGCAGCCTGTGGCAGTCGAATTTGGCAGAAGCTAATGAGGCCTAGTACTCACTATGCATGCCTTTCAGTCAGCCCGTGTAGGTGCTCCATATGTAGTCATTCCCTACTGGTAATCCCATATGATGTATTGTCCATGGTATGGATTCCCTGATGGTAAAGCCATTTCTTCCCATAGTTAGAGCTTTGACTCTGACACCAGTCACTGCATTTGTAGTAGTTCCTCCCTTTTCAGGTAGGACCTACCTTAGGGACAATCCATGTGTGGTACTTTCCCAGGGGATAAGTCCATGTGATGTATTCTCCACATATTAACTTCACTTTGGGCAAGATGTGGTCTCCGTAGCTTTCCTTCGCCCATTTGGGAGGAAGAGCACTTCCCTAATGCTCTGTTCTGCAGACAACTGTCGGAAAAAAGAAGAACAGAAAAGATCAAAAGTCCGGCTATTACCATTGTAAGTACTTTTCTTTCAGGCCTGGTGTAGTACAAAGGACTACACAGCTTACGTGGGGCGTTGGGAATGTTACGATGCAGCCGAGTGCACTTGTTACCCAGCACACAGTAGCTTACCAAAACCTGCTCTACTTGAACCTTGTAACTCAGTGGTTGTGGCACTTTCCATGGGGACTCCTAATGTCAGTAGTTTAACACAACAACAGTTTCTTGGTTACTATTTTAACCTCCATTCCCTGATGGAGGGAATGAGATGTTGTGTTCCTCCTGCCATAACACAACATAACAACAATCAGGAAATGGAGGTTACAATAATAAAGAAGGCCATTTTCATTTTTGGGTGGAATATCTCTGTAAGGCATCATTGCGAGGAACATGAGTGAGAAAAGTGTCGTTCAAAATACACGATTGAACTGTTGTTTGTCCAAAATGTGTAACATGGTGGAACCGACAGAGCAGAATCTCAAGGACAACGAGGAGAAGCCTTTCTTTTGGGGGGCACAACTGTTGATATGCTTTTACTATACATCAATGGTCCAAAACCATTCTTCAATTTAGCCATTCTGAAAATGAGAGAACGTACAGTCTGACTGGATATAAGGGGCCCATCATGCATCATAGGGGCAGGGGTAATTGTTGTAATTAGAGGAACCATTATTGTGATCAAGTAGGCAATGTTGCCTGCTTTTACTTGCAGTCATGCAAACTTGAGAAGGCCATCATGTTCAAGTGTCCATAAATTCCATAAGACTGCAGAGTGTCCCATCTGTCCATTTAGGTTTCAGAAGTGTTCTCTCAAGTGCCCCCTTGAGATTATGCATGCCATTTGGGACAGGGTTATAGATTCAAATTTGCTCATTTAAGAAGTCAAATATAGTGAAAATCTAGTAAAAAATAATTTTCCACTTTTTTTTTACTAAATGAGCACAAGGAAGAATATTTAATAATTTTCATTTATATGCAAAAAAACATAATCTAGTAATAAACCTAATCAAGAAGTATACCAATACAGTACATATATATTTGAACGCAAACAAAATGCCAACTGGAGACTAGCATGAACATATTTGAATGATGATACAAACAAATAGTAGTAATGAATGAATAGTAATGAATATTTAGACAGTTTCAGATTCATTTGGAAAATGAACTTTTTAAAACATTTTGTTTAAATTATGTTTCTGTTTTAATGCTTTCACAAGTCATGACACAAGAAGTTTGCATGGAACTGGCCTTTACCATTGTCCTAAACTAGGAAATAATTACAATAGTAGTTGCTGATTACATTTATATCACCAACAAAATAATATATAATAATAATAATATAAGAAGAAGAAAATACTAGCATTTGACAATTAATGAGGCAGTGTCAAAATAATCACATGTATAACATAATCCTATAGACAATTCTTTTCTAACAACCAGGAAAAAAAGTGCATCATTTTTTTAAAAGGTAATGTACTCTTACTAGCTACTAAATACAAAGAGGAATTTAAAATGTGACTTTTTTTGTCAGAAAAAAATAAAACTCTATTCTAAATGGAAATGGATCTACAAAGCAAACTCGACAATATGCCACCTATGCTCTCTTTTCTCACTGCTGCTATTGGATGACAGTAAGCTCCACCTCCCTACTGCCCCGCCCCCTCTGAATGAGGGTGAGAGTTTGGTTAGCCGCATTCTGCAACTGGGCCCACCAGGGACAAAATTTCTGGGGTAGGAGTGACACATAAAACAACCAATGGATGCCAGTCCCACTCCCTACTTTCTCCTTTCACACGATCTTCCTTTTTAATTGTGTTGTATTTGGTTGTATTCTGCTTTTATTGTAAAGTGGCTCTAGTGTATGTTACCATAGGTGCACCCTAGTGTCATTTTTATTTTATTTTTTATTTTAGTCTTAATTACTCATGATTGTTTCCAAACTTCTTGAAACTGATCAACAAATTATGGATATACTTGTGTACTTCACCATCAAAATTTCACAAGTTTGGGAAATTCATGACCAAAAAAACATTCCCTAATCATACTATTTGTAGTGATTTGTCATACTATTTGTAGTGAAGTGTGTTGTTCTAAGTCATCTATATGTGCTTCCTTTTGCTCCTTTAAATGAATGTTTGTACGCAGCTTTTTGTGCTCATCTTTTTTTCTTTTCTTTTTCTGCCATTTGCTGAGCTACTTTTGTTGCAGCATGAGTTTCAGTTGTGTGCATTTTTAGGTATAAACATAACATGAATATTGTTATATATGGCAGCTATGTTATAGTATGTTTGTAAAAGTTTTCACTTATTTAGGCCATAGTCTTGTAGGCGTGTCCAGTAGAATTTGAATCAAGTATCTAGACTTGTATCAACATATATCTGGGCATATCAAGGTGTTTCAGCACTGAAGTTAAAACGAATTGAAAACCAAGTCCATTTGCTTTTCATAAACTTTCTTTTTAAAAATGTTCTTTTTGTGTTTTTTTTTTTTTTTACATTCTAATGAAATAAAACAATAAAAAGACAATATAATACACATTATTTATGTATAGTCTACATGATATAGACTATTGGATCCAGCTGTTGCTGATCTTTGCAGTTACCATTACTGAACAAGAGAAAAGTAAATATAATAGGAAATTTATCATTCCCATTTCTGTATATTATTATGCCAATTTCATTATATTAAAACAGCAAGCCTCTCAAGGCCATTTGTTACAGTGACTTCAGAGCAAAATGTATTAGCCTAACTCTAGATGATTTAGTACATATATAGACTTTGTACATAAGTATTTAATTCAAAACACATAAACACACATTTACACGTTTTTATGAATAACATTCTTTAACTTCCTGCTGGGCGTTAGGCCGGTGATTGTGGAGATCCCTCACTTTGCGGCTCTAAGAGGAAAAGAGAGGGAACTGGTGATCTTACGCAGTGAAACGGGAGAGAGTTGGAAAGAGCATCATTGTGAGTACACAGAAGAAGAGCTCAACCAGATCCTCAACGGCATGAATGAGGGTGAGAAAAAACAAACAAACACATAATCAACATATAAGCATAACATGAATATGACCAATACAAATGATAACTTTCCTTCTTTCTAACATAGTCACGCAAGTCTAAACAATTTCCATTTTCACTCATTTGAATGGTCCCTTTCTCATTGGCTGCCCTATACATTGTTTACATCTTCATTTTTTTTAGGACTGGACCCACCAGAAGAGTTGGAGAGAAAGCGAATCTGTCGCATTATCACTCAGGACTTTCCACAGTATTTTGGTGTGGTGTCACGAATTAAGCAGGACAGTAATCTCATTGGTCCAGAAGGTGGAATTCTGAGTAGCACAGTGGTCCCTCAAGTACAGGCTGTCTTCCCAGAGGGAGCTCTCACTAAACGCATCCGTGTTGGCCTGCAGGTAGCATGGAGATTAAATAAAACATATTACAATGTAGAACCATAGTGCACACAGCTGTATTTTAGTTTAGTTATCGATTTTATTTTATTTATCAGTTGCTGCTGTTCATTTTTCTATAACATTATAATAATGTTAAAGTTATAATAATGTTATAACAGTCATCTTCTTTTCTATCCATTTAATGTCACAATATTTTGTTTGATTTCTACTAGTTTTCAGTTTAAGCTTGGTTTTAATAATCAGTAATTACATTTATAGTAGAAATAGTACAATGTACTTTCAGTGTGCCACTCTCTTTTTGTTTTTACTTAAAAGTTTAAGACAAAAGTTACAAGTTGTCAAATTTACATAATAGTTATTTTTAAATGACATTTTAGTGCTATATTATGTAATTGAGCTGATGAGCTATCACAGGCATTCTGTTGGTAACAGTCACAATATTTAAACACATTTTGAACAGATGACAATGAGATACAATGTGTTACTTTAAATTATTAATTTGCTCTGAACCTATCATTGTGATAGTTGTATTCATTATTGCCTTTGCTTTTTGGCCAGGCTCAACCAATGTGTGTTGATGTAGTGAGGAAGAATTTGGGTAATAAAGCCACATTCAGCCCTATAGTCACTCTGGAACCGCGGAGGAGGAAATTCCATAAACCCATAACCATGACTATCCCTGTCCCGAAGAGCTCCACTGACCCAATCCTTGGCTGCTTTGGAGGTGGAGATACTCCTACATTACGTTTGCTATGCAGCATCACAGGTGAGAAAGTACACAGGAATATACAGAAACAAAACAAAATGCTCTTCATTCTATAGGTTGCACAATATGCATTAAAAGCGTATTAAGCCTTAATCAATATGCAGAGACAACTACACAGGAAGTAAGCCATTCATAGGTTAAGTGTAACAATGTAGCACTACAACCAGTGGCATGGGTTAAGTCATTTAGGACATTGTGTAGAGCCTAGAATAATCTACTTGTACTGAGCATCATGACGCACTTCTGATTTGAAATTAAAAAGACTTACCAATTTCTGGTTATATAATTAAAAAAAAGTGACGTGACATGTGGCCAAGTATGGTTACCCATACTAGGAATTAGTGCTCTGCATTTAACCCATCCTAAGTGCACACACACAGCAGTGAACACACACACACCGTGA